TAAATAATTTCATCTTTAAGTTTTATTGCATTATTATCTTGGTAGGTTAGGTTTAGGTTAGGTTAGGATGACAGTCTTACTTTAAACCTTCACCAATGACACAACGATTTGATAATGTGGTTCCGTTGCTCGTGTTTAGTGTGGGAGATAGCTAGGTAGTGTTTAGTGTGGACGTGAGACAAACATGCCGTGTATCGTGAGTGCAACACCTCTCTTCGCCAGGGCGGGACGAACAGTGACCAGGGTTACGGTTGTTGTTGTGTTGTTATATACGTCACGTACTACAGTAGTTAATAATGGGAAACGTTATAGTGTTTACGTTCTGTAGGTCCACGTCACAGGGGGTAGAGCTGTCATGCTGGATGGCTGGGGGCGTCGGGGAGGGGGTGTTAACATGACCCCAGACGATTGTGGAGCCTGGGTAGTTTTTTTTAGAGAGAGAGAGAGAGAGAGAGAGAGAGAGAGAGAGAGAGAGAGAGAGAGAGAGAGAGAGAGAGAGTAATAGAAGATTAGAGGTGGGGGAAGGAAGTTATAGTTCGGAAATTGAAGAAATTTAGGAAGAGGTAAGAGAGGGCGGGCTGACCGCCTAGCTAAGCTAATAGTGCGTTAGGGTTGTGTCATGGGTTAGTTATTGTCTGTCGGTACAGGCACTAGACAGCCTACCCTATTCCATGTGGGTGTTTTGAGGGCCTTATTTCATATTCCGCCGACCCTACTGGCGGATGCTGGTCTAGGGAAGTTGTCTATTGCCTGGCCGTTTAGATCGGGGGTGGTAATGGACCTTTTGAGATTTGGTAACTTTTTGGGAACCATGTATGGTTGTTGAAGTTATCTGGTGGTGGTCTTTGAAGGAGTTCTTGCTCTGATCGTTCTATCTTTTGCCAGATTCTGCTGGCCAGGGTGTGCAGCTGCTGGTTGACGGGTTTCATTCTCAGGTCTATGTAACTAGGCTGTGGTTCTGGTGAAGGGGTATCTTTCACCTGTGACGAATCTTATGGCTTCATTTTGGCTGTAGCTTTTTCGTTGAATAGTTCCCAGTCGGTCTGCTTGGCGATCCTCCGTGGTGGAGCTGGTATAGTTATTGGTGTTGCTGAGATGGTCTTGATTATTGGTAGGTGGTCGCTGGAGGTTACAGGGCCTTGTTCAAAGAGATAGTTGTGGAAGCATCTGTCGTTATTGATATATCTGGAGTAGTGGCTGAGTTCCTACTGTAGAACGTGGGGAAGTCCGGGGCTATTAGTTGGGCTTTTTTGTCTGTTATGAAGCCAGCGAGGCCTCTTCCAACATTGTTAGTTGTCCTCTTACCATCTAGTAGAGGATGTCTGGCGTTCATGTCTCCAATGATGTAGGTTGGGTGGTGGTATGATAGGAGTCTGTGGAAGTCCCCGTAAGGCAGGTAGTCCCTGCGTGGTGGGAGGTAGGTTGGGGCCATTATGATTGGTCCTGTGGTCAAGTTGATTTGAACAGCGAGAGTTTCAGAGGTGAAGTCGTCTATGATTCTGTGGTGAACATCTTTTATGGCGATGGCCACACCGTCATTTGGCTCCTCTGATAGATTGGATTTATGGATCCTATAACCAAATATTTTAAATTCCTCAAACGCCTTTTGGCCGTGTGAGCTTGAGTATAATATATGCGTCAACTTGGTTGTATTGGCTGGACAAACTGAATTTATTAGTTCTCCAGTGGAGGACGTTGTGTTGCCTCGGGCGTGGGAACCAGTGTGCCCCGCGGGGCCGACCACCCAGGGGGGCACTCACCACCTCTGGCCTCTCTCAACGCCAATATTAGGAGGTAACTGACTCCTCCTCCCCCCTCCCCCGCCCCCCTACCGCTGAAAGATGTGTCGCAGCGTTTGAAAGACGAACACTTTCTGGAGTCTGTGAAAATAATTTTTAGTAATGTTCCCATTGTTTACTTTGATAATGAATAACACACACACACAGGTTATCAGCATATACCTGGATCACGCGCACCTACAGTGATTTACTTGCATATATATATATATATATATATATATATATATATATATATATATATATATATATATATATATATATATATATATCGATAAAATCACACGGGAAAAGGGAAACAACGGAGCACCTGAGCTTTCGTCTTTATTCAAGACTTCTTCAGAGGCAACTGTGTGATTTTATCAAGATTTATCTTATCCACGTTTTCATTGTGGATCTACATGATATATATATATATATATATATATATATATATATATATATATATATATATATATATATATATATATATATATATATATATATATGCAAGTAAATCACTGTAGGTGCGCGTGATCTAGGTATATGCTGATAACCACAAGGAAAGAAGAAAACACGAAGTTCCCAAGCGCTTTCGTGTAATTCACATTTTCAGGGGTGAGTAAGACTAAGGAGAAGTGCATAACAAGGTATATATATATACAGAGGAGGGTAAGATCAAGTCCACAAGTCTTCAAAAAGCACCGCACCAGTCGGTAGTCAGGTCAGAGGGTAAGGTGACCCAACCTTCTCACCTGGTAATTTGCAGTAATTTGACAAGTGAAGAAGTGAACATGTGTAAAGGTGTTGTGTATGCATCTATGTCTAAGCCTTGTGTTCCAAACTGTCCAGAAAGATTTATCAAAGCAATCCAAGCCCTTAAGAAAAATAAGGATCTACATGTCACTAAAGCAGATAAAGCCAACACAGTAGTGATTTTAAACAAAGATGACTATATTTCTAAATGAATGACCTTTTATGTGATGCTGCAACATATTCTAAGCTCACAAATAATCCTCTCAACACAGTTAACACCCAGTTCAACAAAAAACTTAAGTCCCTATTGAGAGGCAAAGCTACTCTCATTAAACATCTTACTTCAACGTCCCCTCCACTGCCATACATGTACGGTGTAATCAAGACCCACAAGCCCAATAACCCAGCAAGACCCATCATCAGCTCAGTTGGGTCAATCTCTTATAATATATCTAAATGGTTAGTTTCTTTACTAAATCCCCTAGTTGGCAACATTTCTAACAGGCTTCCCCACAGCCTGAGAACAAACTTTGTGGTAGTCTTCTGCATCTTTCCGGATATCCTGAAGGCAGAACGCAACTAACACACACACACCTGGCGATATACTCAACTAACTTTATGACTCCTACTTTGCAGAGACTTGTGGAAGCCTTTGATGTAAGGAAGACACGGAAGGTTTTAACTAGGACGGGTATGTTATATAGGACCTAACACGCTGACCCATGACGCCAACTCTATCTTACTTTATTTTTTTTTACTTTTATCCTCTTCGCCACTGATCGGCTCGCTAGCCGCCCGGGCGATCGGTCACGTCTCCGTCAGGCACTGTTGGCACGTACTGGGCATGCACCGGCTCTTGAATGTACCTGAACCTGCTCCAGTGTTGGTCAAGTCTGGTCTTGAAAGAGCTCACACTCGGTGCCGTCACAACACTCTTTGGTAGATTGTTCCAAGAGTTTACAACCCTCACTCCGAAAAAGTTTGCCCTCACGGTTTTCTGGACTTGCGGCTTCTTCAATCTTGAGCTGTGACCCCTTGTGGGGCGAGCGTCCGCCAGCTCCAGGTAAGGACACTCAACTGAGTAGTGCCCCTTGAGATGCTTCTACACCTCAACTAGGTCCCCCCTTGCCCGTCTGTAGTATAAGCTAGGCAAGTTCAGGCGCTCCAATCTCTCAGGGTAGCTGAGGTGCCGAAGTGCAGGCACCAGTCTGGTGGCCCTCCTTTGAACATTTTCAACCAACTGACAGTCCCTAGCATATCTCGGGGACCAGATGGGGTGACAGTACTCCAGACGGGGAAGCACTTCACTCTTGAAGATCGTTACGAGGGACGGTCCGGACCGTCTATTGTAGATATCTGAACGACCTTCTTATAAGACCCAATAATTTATTTGCCTGATTTACCTTCTTCTCACAATGGCCCGAGAACTTCAGCTCATTGTCAACATACACACCTAGGTCCTTCTCACACACAGTCTCAACTAGTACAGTTTCTTCATCCCGTTGGGACGTATGATACGCCTCCTTACCGTTGGCACGCCCCAGGTGCATCCTCTTACACCCAATATCCTTCAAAATAACTGCTAAAGTATTAATTGTATAAAAACATATAACATCCATTCAAAATTGTTCTAAATCATGTATTGTTCCCTATTAGCGTGTTATCTTTATGTTATTAATACAACTTTGAAAGATATTGGGCCCTGATAAATTGCATCACTCTAGCACGCCCCCCTAGACCTCGTAACTAAGACATAGCGATAATAAGTTAATGAAAACAAGCATTATTATTATTATTGTTATTGTTATTATTATTATTATTATTATTATTATTATTGTTATTGTTATTGTTATTGTTATTGTTATTATTATTATTATTATTATTATTATTATTATTATTGTTATTGTTATTATTATTATTATTATTATTATTATTATTATTATTATTATTATTATTATTGTTATTGTTATTATTATTATTATTATTATTATTATTATTGTTATTATTATTATTATTATTATTATTATTATTATTGTTATTGTTATTGTTATTATTATTATTATTATTATTATTATTATTGTTATTATTGTTATTGTTGTTATTATTATTATTATTATTATTATTATTATTATTATTGTTATTGTTATTGTTATTATTGTTATTATTGTTATTATTATTATTATTATTATTATTGTTATTATTATTATTATTGTTGTTGTTGTTTTGTTGTTATAGATGAGCTTTATACCGGTAAAGTTGTCAATAAGATTTTGCTTGAAAAATTTATCATTGATGTGTACTATACCCACATTTGGGAACTTCGGGTTTAATTAATTTATGCCATAACAAATTGAACTAAACTGTGTAAAATTTCCCTGTAGAAACTGACATAAACACCTTTAGGATTATTTTACTTTAAATTACGTGTTCAGACATTGTGTTCGTTTCTTTATTTTCATTGTCAAGTAGATACAAATATTTACATTATATACATTGTAAATTAAAACTAGATATAATAATGTCAATATCTTAGGTAGTTCATAATCAATATCAAATACATTATATTCATTATTATTTGGAGTAGTAAGGTTAGGAAGAGTAACAATGAACATTCCTTTCTGGTTAATACTCCAGGTGTGACCCAGACCCGACCAGTTGGTTTAAAGAGGGGCTTATTAAAACATTTGTGCTTATATTAGAAAAGAAGAATATTGACATTATTTATATAAGAGGTAAGTTATTGTTTAAAACTATGTGGGAAGAAGATAAGTGGGTAGGTGAAATATTTTTTACTTAATACTATGTGTACTCTTCACTATCTACTTCTTATAGTGTTGTAAAATTATAAGATTTGAGTTTTGTGAATTTTATTTTATTTCAGGTGTGTGACAAGAGATGCTACTAAACCATCAATAAATTGTCAGTCCCGAACCTAACCTAACTAATAAATTTGGTAATGTTTGAGGACAGCACTACCACCAGAAGTAGTTGTTTGATTCCTTAATTTTTTCTACAGATGTTTTAATCATTTTGGCAAGTATTTTAAAAGAGGCAAAGACTTTTTATTTTAATTATATGCATTTTTAAATTTTTTAGTTTTACTCTATCTGCAATCATAAATCACTTGTGGTGGGCAGGGCATGAAGGATGCGGGGAACTGTGAGGTAAAACACTGTTAACATTGATCATATAAAACTAAATTAATGTCTCTACGTGCGTATGTGAAGAAATTAGTTATTTACCATAAATATTTCTCTAAAAAATCTGCGGTTGTTTACAACTGACCTTCTTGGTCCCAGCTTACTCTCTTATCCATAAAATCATGTACAATTACACCATGATGTTTCAATATCTTTGCTTTCATTGGTACCTGATATCAAAATAAGTACTTTCTGTTTAATATGGCAGGGGGACCACCTCCTGGCCAGGAAGTTAGGTAAGGTTAGGTAGGTTTCTTTGGTTGGTTAGGTCAGGTTCTATAAAGGTCTAGTAAACATTGCCTCTTTTAAATTACTTAATATGGATAATGATAAGAACATCTGTGGAAAAAATTAACCAAATCAAACAACTCGTACTGGTGGTAGTGGTGTTATCAGACATTACCGTGAGCTATAACTGAGTTTAGTAGTTGTCTGAGTAATATGTGACGAGAGTGGTCCGGCCTAAGCATCAGCTTAAGGAAGATTCTCCATAGCAGATAAATGACAACAAGTGCACGAGGAAAGTGTTTTGTTAATACCACTTTTTACAACAGAAATCAGCGGAGGAAGACAGCAAACCTAACCTTGCCATGCACACTGTGCTCGGACTGTGTGAATGGATCTTTTCATAGAAATAAATTTTATTTTACGGTATTTTAGAAGAATGAATAGAAAATATATGTAGTGTTTCATATTAGGTTTGGCAGGTTAGGTTATGAATGTTAAATTGTAGAATGTTTCTGTGTCTAGAAAAGAATCTATGAAATGAATCAAGATTTGATTATAGAATGTAAATATCATGAAAGTTAAATTATGCAAAATATATGGTACAATACTGTGTATAACTGTTCATTCATCATTTTTGACAGTTTTCAAGGTAAGAAAACTTTAACTTTAACAGAGAAAGTTGCTCAAGTTGGTGTTAAGGCTGGACCACTCTCTTCAAGTACAGTAACCCCTCGATAACTCGGCACATACGGGGCTCCGGCCTTGCCCAGTTATCTGAAAGTTTAATTTATCGAGGCACTTCTCCCCTCCTAATAATAAATAAAACCAACAAGCTACCTAAACTAAACCAACGTCTACCCCCAAGCTTATTGATCACTGGTATATATACAAGTAAGGCAATATACTGTATGTTTTTTTCAGACAAACTGTACTCTCGTTTACTACCATGGAGTTGAACCTGACACGAGTGGATTACTTTCAAGTAGGGTTGACCTCCCCACGATGTTTAAGAGTCCTTCCCTCCGGTGCTCCCAAGAATCAACAGAAGGTATAATAATGGTTATATAGTATAGTAATAGTTATAATGTAATGGTTATACAGTCAGTACTATGGGAATTGGGGTTTTTATAATGAGCCCAATTCTTCATAGGTCCTAACATTATTATTATTACCATTTGAAAGGTAAAAAACAAATTTTCTCTATTGTTTTTCCTAAAGTTGCTCCCTCTAACTTGTGCTGTTGTGGACTGTTCTTGAGGTGTACAGTACAGTGTATAAAAGTTATTCTATGTACAGTTAGAACTTTGGTCCTGAATTGTATGAAAAAGAATTATAAATTAAATATAAATTCAATAGAAAAAATATTGAGGGTTATAAGTGGTGTAATTTCTTATAGTGGTAAATACATACAAATTTGACAGTTTGGTTAAAGCTAGTGTACCTTATTGAAATATATCAGACTGTCTTTATGGATATACAGTTTAGTAAGCATGAAATTACAACACAAGTTCCAGGTACAAGTGTTGTACAGTTAGCCTTCTGAATACAATATTTTTGGCTGGTGCTGTCATTTTATGAGTAGGTTCTCTTAAAGGGAGGGCTTTCTTTTTTCCCTGTGTACACAAAAGGAAAATGAACAAATAAAATTTCACACATAATTCCAGGCCATCACCGTTGCACTTACTGTACTAAAATGTATTCAGCTTACTTGAACTATGGGGCTACAGTACTTCTTTATATTGGCCTGGCACAGTTGATGCCCCTGGGGGTATTACCTGTGTCAAGTATACAGAAGCACTGGCCTCATGTCGGCCAAGGTCACTTAGTTTAAGCAGTACTGTGTTGTATCACATATAGAATATAGTATTGTCACTTCACTATGATGATTCACACATGGGAATGCACAAGAAAACAATAACATAGACATAGGAGAAGACTGAAAAGCCACGCACAAGTGACTGTAGGAGCCCTTGACCAATCACAGCACAGTACTGCATCCTTCAGTCTCCCAAGGGTTTGGACAGCTGGGATGCTCAGTCACTATGTCTGGTAAGCAATTTCACCTATGAGGTCCTTAGCAGACAGTCAGCCCATTAACCCCTTGTGTATGGTGTCACCTCTGAGCTGAATAAAGTCGTCTGTTTTTATCCAAATAAAATACCAAAAGAGGTGTTCCTGTAGTGAAGGGGTTAACTTGCTTAAAGGAAACTCTCAACTTCTAAACAGGGTCTATAGTATAGTATTTATTTTATTTATTTATTTATTTAAAATATGCATGTACTGTAATGATAATCTTTTTTATGTTATATAAGAAGTAAAACAACCATTCAGTTGAGCTTGTGTGTGGAGGGGGGGGGGGTGAGCAAAGCTTGACTTGACCTCGGGTAACATGGATGACACATTTGGTCTTAGTCACTAGAGTCCTGTCATTCATAAACTGCTTCTAAAGAATTTCTCCAATTTTCTGGAACTTTGAATTATTTTGTTCAGAGTACAGAACTTAATGTTGATGAGTCTGCTCAACATATTCAAAGGTTATTTAAAAATTTATTTAATGTAAAACTATGGACTGGTGTTAGCGCAGTGTACAGTATTTTTTTAATGGGTATATTACAAAAACTACCCAAAAAGATCATTTATCCTGTACACTATAAATTGAGGTTCAGCTTTATTAATCTTTTGATCTTTCGATAAAGCAATGTTTTTCAGTACAGTATTAACCAATATGTATACAGGGTATAAACATATTCTTGGTTGCCCCAAAACACATAACTAGTTATGCTCCTTGGCTCTGGCTACTGATGACCACCAAGAATACGCCAATAGCGCTGCCGGACTCTTTCTCGGGGAATGGCCCAACATAATACGTGTGTTCGCAAAAACTATATTCTAATATAATTACATTTCTTCTTCCATTGTGAGAGATGAGGGCACGATAACCCGGGAACTTCAAGTAAACAACATGCGTCTTGTGAGATCTGTCCGGAGCAGCCAGCGTCCATGTTTCGGTTACCGTACGTCCGGTTTCATGAATTTGTTTTCAGATGTGTCTCCATATTTAAAAGATTATCATAGGTACATAGCAATATACTCAATATTGTGTACTTTTAATTAAAAATTATCATATCTGTAATTAATAACAATGTCTTTTATGACATTATACCAAAGAAATGAGAGTTTCAAGTAAGAAACGAAAGAGAGACTATTCTGACACGTGTGCTTCACTCTCACTGAAGCCCACAGAGTTTTCAGGTGTCAGAAATTTCTCCATTCCCAGTTCAATGCACGTAGGTATTGATTGTCATTTCATTTAAAGCAATTTTATACACAATATATTTTTCAAGTGATACACAGTACAGCTACTATCCTGTGTGTAATTTGTGATTTTATTGAAAAAAATTTTCACACATAGGCCTCATCTTGTCTAGAGTGTATGGATTGACGAATGTGATTGGATAGTTCCCCTTCATTTCCACCCACTTTCCAAATAAGGAAAAGCCATAACTAGTTTTGCCTTTGAAGGCATAGGTACCTACTCGGGAGAAGTTTTGCCGGGTACGGCCAAGTGCAGATGTGCAGAAGATAACATGACTAGTTATGTGTTTTGGGGCAACCAAGAATACGCCTTATATATTAAAAATGATGTTACACATTCATGCAGGTGGTGGTAGGAGACCATGATGGTATGGTTCAGCTGTTCAACATGAAGCACGGGGAGGTGCAGTTTGGTTTCAGGACAGATACTCCAAAAAGCATATCTCGCCTAGAGTTGGGAGGAGCTCTGGGTAAGTTGACACAGTTTCTAAAACAGTATACGACCTGGTCTTTTATTTATGTCTTTATGTCTCACTTGATGAAGGCATCAGGGCTATTGCTTACCTGACCTTAATATTTTATCGCATATGTCTATTATTACTTTATTACATTCATGTACTGTATTAATACTTGTGGTGTCATACACTATATTTGGTGATGGTGTGTACAGTACAGTACCGCAATTTAATCTTCACTAAAACAACCTGTCAGTCTTCCTTTATTATACTGCAGTTAAAATAGATGTACTGTACCATAGCTTATGTTTGTGCCAAGACCATACTAACTTATGCATCCTTGACACACTACTGTAGTTGGAGGTTATTGGAAAGTTCATATAATATTTTAATTTTATAAAAAAACAGGTACTTGATGAAGGCTCTCCCCAAACAGGAACAGTGAAGGATAAAGTGTTTGTGTCGTCAGGGAATGAAGTCAGAGGCTACACAAAGAAAGGAAAACAGTTCTTGGGTTTTGACACCAACCTCACTGAAGAGATCAAGTCTATGTAAGTTAAGTTAGTTCCTCGAGCTCTTATTTACTTCTGTTATAAGCCATATAGGGGTGAGACTACCTATGAGCCATCCAGGGGTGAAACTATGAGCCATGCAGGAGTGAGACTATGAGCCATCCAGGGGTGAGACTATGAGCCATACAGGAGTGAGACTATGATCCATGGAGGAGTGAGACTATGAGCCATCCAGGGGTGAGACTATGAGCCATGCAGGAGTGAGACCATGAGCCATCCAGGGGTGAGACTATGAGCCATGCAGGAGTGAGGCACAAGCTTTGTTTAAGTACAGCAGAAAAAAATGATCCCACAAAGTACATGTTATCTTATGAGTCTGTGTGACAACAAGTAGTATCTGGCACAAGTTACCTCGAGTCTCTGGTTTAATTTGACCAATACAGTACTGGGTATTAATTTCAAAAGCTATGTGAAAACAATCATAATCTTTAGTTAATACAAGTAAATCATTCTCGCCAACAGGCACATCAGTGGCAGTGACCTTCTTGTGTGTGGTGACTATGTCTACAACCATTACCATGACTGTCAAGACTCAAATTACTACTTAGCTGCTGATATGATCAATGATGTTATTACACTTCCTGTGGAAAAAGTAAGTAGAAACTTATTTGATAAAGATACATTTGCACGCTCTTTATATTCTGTACTAAAAAGAAAAAGTATTCACATATACATACTTACATTTATCAAGTATGTTATACAAACAATACATTATGTTGAAGTCTTTACATTCTCCAGTACAGTATATGGGATTAGCGTTTCATTAACCATGTCGATAACTTTCTTCCCTTTGAATTAAGTTGTCTTCCATCTGCAGACAGTTGTACAGTCACTCCAGGAGGTATCTTTACGGAGGGTCCGGTGAATATCAAAATGAAAACTGCGGCTCCTGTTGCCTTGGTAGGGTTGTCAAAATCCTTTGTTGGTTGTGTCATTGTCTCACACTAAATAATAAAGATACCTTTTGGAGTGTTTGTACCTTTTAACACAGCAGCAACTACCCTAACTTGTATCATAATGAAATAAGTACTGATTGTAATTGTTTATCAACAATTATTTCATTGAAACCAAAAATTCTGAATATTGCAGAACCTTAACTATCACATGGGTATAATAAGGGAAAGTCTCCAGCACCCAGAGCCTCTGCCTGTGACGTCCCCACCAGTTGTTACTGGAATAAGATTTTATTGGCCAGACTTGAGTTCACCAATACTATATTTAAAACAGTTTGTGGTTAAATCAAGAGCAGATAGATCTACACAAGTGTAAGGATGGGCAGAGTAGCTTGGGGAGGTGAATTAATTTATTATGTTCTTTCACCTCCACCAAAAAAATTTATAGAATTACATAATTATATACAGTACAGCACTGTATATAGATATATTTTGTTGGGTGGGTAAGGGAATCATACAGTGAAGAGAGAAGCATACCCTGGCCACCTTGACTGCAAAGAACATGCAGCTCTCAGTGTCCATCCATCCTTAAGCGAGGACTGCTGTAAAATGGACTTTGTTAAGGTCACAGTATAGTAATGACTTGGGAGTGATGGTCATAGTACAGTACTCTTTCGTTGTGTAGCATGTTACTGCTGGCTTTTTCACAGAGCTAAAACTGTTGGTGACAAGTCATATGTGGTCAATAACACTTGTCAATGGCTGGAAGGTCTTGTTAACACTGTGCACTGAAGACCAATGAGAGGGACTAACACTGTAGTTTCTTAATACATATATGATGTCTAAATCTTCCAAAACATTTTAGCTTTCATGATCTTGATAAATTGTTTAGCTTCTGTGTTAAAAGATACACATATTTTTGTAGTAGCTTGTGTTTTCATACTTGTACTCTGCCCCTGGAGTGTACAACAGTTGTTTAACAGGTGAAAGAGAAGTTCTAGCATAGGAAATAATGAAAGGAAAATGGCAGAAGGTATAAGAAAGGTAAGAAGAGTAGCAGGAGGAGACAATGATACAAGTGACTCAAGTTGGTGTGGAAGTAAGAGCTGAAGTGAAAGGAGAAAGATTAGAATATAGTCAGTTTTTGTAACAGGTAAGTTAGAGTGCGGAGTATTTTATATATGTGACGTTATGATACAAAACTCTGAAGTTGATAAATTTTTGTTCAATCATATCCTCAAGTCTGACTATTTTGAGAGATGCTGAATCATAAGCAGGAAAGATTAAAGCATGCAGAACTTCAGAGATGATTAACAGGTAAAGTTATATTGTATTATGTATGAGAATAGGTGGTATACTTGCAGATCTCATGGTGATTATCAGGTGCAAGAAGAAAGAATGAAAGGTGGAACTCACAATCAGGAACACCAACCGAACCGAGACTGCTGTGCACGTGTTGTGTTCATTTCCAAATACATCAGGCCAGGGGGGTCGATACTTTTTTGTTGCGAGTGTACATACATAGATGCATCACTGTACTGTACAAAGAATGAACATTGAATCAACATGAATGCGAGGACTATTTGTTCATCTTGAGACATTTATTACAGTGTGTGGTGTTGAACGACTTTTAGATATCAGCATTGTGCCCATTGTCAAACATAAATGACTTGTAAGGATTAATATCTTCCTTTACCTTCCCAGTGTGAATACTTAAAGGCAACACTCTTTGCTGACCAGGTAATAGATTTCATGCTTTCATAAACACAGCTTTGGCCACAAGATATATTGCCAGGACTACACTTATGCCCTTAAGGTCACACTGCTTGATGGTCTAGATACTGAAACATGTTATAATGTATTCTGTATTGTACTCTACCTTCCCTAACTTATATCAACATTTCTGTCTCACCCTAAAATCTGGTTCATTAGAAATTACTACAGTATTGTGATTTTTTTTATATATAACTATTTTTCACTTGCATTTAAGTAGCCATGTAGTTAGTATTTTCACTCCTTGTCATAGATCAATTGCCTTTGCTTGAGAAACCGTTATATAAATTTTCCTCTATACTGTATTTGAATTGGCTTTTTTTAGAGCTCATTTCCCAGTTGTCAAAGCTTGCCTCATGACTTACTGTTTGCATGGTTGAGTTAACTATGAAGCCATTATGTAGTATTAGGAACAGTTCACAGGTTTGATCATTATGCTGTATACCTGTGATGTTTGTATTTCTTAAAGAGTGGCAGTACAGTACAACTAAATACTGTACTGTACTTTTCACTTTTTTTGCTGTATAGCTTATTATTTTTTATTTAATTATAGCATTTAATTAAGCTACGTTGCTTCATGCTGGTTAGATTTTCCCACGTTAAGTGAAAAAGAAGAAAAAGTGGCCAGCTTTTGAGGAGTGGCTATGAGGGTACCTGTAGTAGTGGCTCTGAGGGTACCTGTAGTAGTGTAGTAGTGGCTATGATGGTACCTGTAGTAGTGGCTATGAGGGTACCTGTAGTAGTAGTAGTTATGAGGGTACCTGTAGTAGTGGCTCTGAGGGTACCTGTAGTAGTGTAGTAGTGGCTATGAGGGTACCTGTATTAGTAGTTATGATGGTACCTGTAGTAGTGGCTATGAGGGTACCTGTAGTAGTGGCTATGAGGGTACCTGTAGTAGTAGTAAAGCTGTTTTAAAGCTTAGTTGTATGACGTGTTACCACAAGGAAGGACCTGGAGAATGAGGCCGGTTCTTGATTATGCAGAACTGTGACTTAACATGCACCCTGGCCATGGTTGGAAATCTAAACCTCTTTCAATCTTTTGACACAGGTTGTGTCGGTAATAGGAACAGTTTTTCTATTCTGTTAAACATTGGGTAGAGCGACCCAGACCAAAATTGTACCCTTAGAGACGCTTCTGCCAACCCACGAGGCTAGTGGGAGTAACTTAGGTGGTTGATAGAGCCGGTCCACTGTTCCTGCCTTTATGCTCATGGGAGGGGTGTCCTCAGTGTGAGGTACACCCAAGAGGGAGGGGAGCGCTTAGTGATGCAATTTGTGTTGAAAGACCACAAGAGGGTTAATTGTCATTCAGGTAGACATAATTTTGAGAGATTTTTACTAAACCATTTTTTTTTCTTTTTTGAATGTTGAATATGTTAAATTATGTAGTTACCGTAATGCATATTATCGTTTTCTGTGTATGTAGAGCATGGTACATTACTCTTGTGTGGTATAAAGAAAATATATTGTCATATTCCAGAACGAATTTGTTCAAAAGTCTTCATATCACACATTGTAGAATTCATCAGAAATGTACAGAGTATTAATGCCCTCGGTAAGAAGAAATTAATTACTTATTTTCCCATTCTATTTAAGGAAAGATTTGATAAGGATTACCCATGTTGTTTTATATGTCATCATCATCATCATCTAGCGGGCATTTTCCACATTTGCAGTTACTTGATGTCGGGTCTCCATACTGTGCTCTGTGAACATTATTATTTTTTGTAATAGTTAATTTTTTTCATTGTTTTCTTATTTAAATTATGAGGAATTGTGAAAAATCATTTGTATATTATATGACTTCTTTCTGTTTGACCTTCATTGAGTTTGGTTAGGTTTGGTTTGTTATAAGTTGAGCCATTAGTCCTCCATGATCATGTTCTCCTGCAGGAAAGTTCTCATATCTCATTCTTTTCCTTCTGTGCCTGTTTGTGTGTGTGTTTGTGTGTGTTTGTGTGTGTCCTGAGTGTGTTCAGCTCCCAGGGGGGACTCTTGTACCACCATTGTCAGTGGGTACTACAGTTTACTCTCGATTTAGCGGAAGGAATTTTTTCCGTTTATTTTTTGCTCGATAAATCGCTAAATCGAGATTAATTCCGTTAATACGCTCACACCTACGGAGACACCTCGGACACGTGATACAGGAGACACCTCGGACACATGATACGGTCTCTTCAGTACATAGAAACATTAGAAACATTATTGATGATGTTTGTTTTCAATTTTTCTATTATTTCCAAACTTTTTTCCAATTGTTAGCTGCACTCTTTTGACTTTCACCCCCACACCACTTCCTTTCTGAGATTTCTGAGACACTTTTGGCATGATGTCTAAGCACAGTAGCAAGTTGAGCAAGATGTAGCAGTGAACAACACGCGTGGTGGCGGCAGGACACAGACTAAGCAGGTGTAAACAATTGTGCACGATTTAGTGAACTAGTGTAGTTTGCTAAATTGAGCGAAAATAACGGAAAGTTTGATTTAGTGAAAATTTCGATTTAACGGAAAGGGGCGGCTCAAATTAATTCCTTAAATCGAGAAAATACTGTACAGTGCCTCTTCCATGTCAACATTGCCCTCACACACAAGCAGCATTCTTCTTCAGCTCTGATAATTATAGTATAGTATACAAAAATAATATTTAATCATGTTAGTTTACGTTTAAGGGTCAAAGGTATTGGTCCTGGAACACATCTTAGCGGTTAACACAGGATCTTATGGGAAAAGGTTATCTGTTGAACAAATCACCTAATGAACACGTTTTAATGGGACCTAACTGTAGTTGATGTGTATGTGTGTGTCTGTCTGTCTGTGAGCGTAAGACTATGCAATAAATTAAACTTTTCCATCAGTTTTCGGTGGAATTTTACACAACTCGGTACAAATTATGAGTTGATCCATTCCAGAGATTATTAATGGAGTCTTAACATAATCGTGTAAACTGTCACTTGTGTTGGGGTATATGCCGTGATTTGGGAGCTCTTGTTAGCATTAGATTTAGTAATACAAGACAGTAGATGTTCTCCTTGTTAGTGTTTATACCTGTAGTAATTATTATAACCTCTCACCGTATCGTCATTGTATAAATTACCCCGTTTTTCTCTGTTTACTCTTCACACGGTCTCTGTTATATCCTCCTCATTGTTGTCACTTCTTGGGAGCAGCTCCATCATAAGCTGTTCTTGGTGTTATGCTGGACAATATAAAGTCAACAAATAAGTCAATAATCATATTCAATAACAAAACAGTTTCTTTTTATTTAGTTACATCTTTCTCAGTGACCTAAGAGTGTACAGTAGTTGGTTAATCAACTGCCTCTGTCAGCTGCTGTATGTTGTTCACTGGATAATTATGTTGGTCCTCTTTCCACACGTTCTAGCTCTTCTGTTTCTTAACGTTAAAAAATGTGTTTGAAAGAATAATATTTTGAAATACTGTATAGATGACTAAAATGTTTGATCCTGTTTCTGGTATAATTAACAGATGAAGTACCTGGTGCCCGTGTTGGCATGTGAAGATCGCTTACTCAGGGTTATGAGAGACTCTGAGGTGTTGTACTCTGTAGAGCTTCCTTCTCCACCATCTACTCTTCAGCTCTTCTACAATGATGGAGGTGAAAATGGAGATCAATTATTATATGGCACATCTGATGGCAAGATTGGTCTGGTGCAGCTAGGAAGGTTGGTACTGATGATGTGAGCTTCACGTGGCTTCTTTAATAATACAGAATGTAGAGGCATTCCAAGGCCCTGGAGAAATACTATTTGTATATTATAAGTGCTAAGTATATTTTCATTTGGGTCATTCCTTTGCCTACCATTGGTCCACCAGCCAAGGCATCTTGTACAGTATTTACTGCTTTGTGTCGTCATTGTTATAGAGATACACAGTTGACTTTCAGGATTTTCGCTTGACAAAAGGAGTTTCCTTTAATAATTCTGGAAAAGAAGTTTTTGAACATTTACAACACTTAATTAGTTCATAAAAATGGATGACCAACTTTGTTCAGGGTAAGTAATCAAAATATGATTTATGAATAAACTGTGAAATGGGACACAACTTTTTAAATGATAAACCTGTTTATTAAAGTTTGTCCTTTACTTCTATTATTAGTTTATGCAGGACAAGTGATGTGTACATTGTTTGTATGTGATGTTAGGGTAAGAGTAACATCTTCATAAGTTTACTTGGCACCAGAACCAAGTACCATGGCTGTTTATTTCAGGGGATCTGCCTCACACCGCTGGGTCTGTGAGAGCGGTAGTAGTGCCGGGAATGCCAGCACTCTAAGACACGGCGGCATAACGTGCATGGACCACCACGACATGACTGGTGACGGGGTACGAGATTTGTTGGTTGGGAGAGACGATGGATCTATTGAAGTGTTTTCTTATGAAGACGGGGATGAGTCAGAACCTGTTCTCAGGTTTTCCATGGTGAGTTAGACATTTCTTATCATTCAGTCAAACTACAGTACCTATAATGTACAGTATAGTGTTCCATGGTGAGTTAGACATTTCTTATCATTCAGTCAAACTACAGTACCTATAATGTACAGTATAGTGTTCCATGGTGAGTTAAACATTTCTTATCATTCAGTCAAACTACAGTACCTATAATGTACAGTATAGTGTTTTGTAGTGTAGGTTAGACATTTTGTAATGGCTGGGATTCTCTGTATCAAAATTACTGTATCTGTGGTCTTCATTGAGATGATTTTGAGGATCAGAATAATTTAGAAATTTCTTTTATAAAAATCAAATGTTAGTGTTAAGTGTTTATTATTGTATCTGACCATGAACCTTTGTCTTTTAATTTATATGAAAACAAACTTTTAATAAATTGTGAGATTCTAAGAAAGTCTTCCCTTGTGTTGAGGTTCTGTACCAGGATTCATAGCTGTCTCACCATACACTCTTAAGCTGTATAACAAGTGCTACATGTGTGTCAGTACTTTTTTCACCTAAAGTAATGAAACTTTAGAATACACACACATACACATGCACACACAAATGTATACTTGCAAATTCTTCTTTTCATTTCTCTTCTCTTTTCTCAATTCTTCTTACTCTTAACTCCTCTCCACTTTTCCCTACTTCTCACTTCTCTTACCCCTTCCTTTCTTCTCTATCTTTCCTTTATCACCTTTTCATCTTATTATTCTCCCACTACAGCTCTACCCATGCTAACACAAACAGTACTAACATCAAGACTTCCCCCTTTACTGTAGGCTTGCAGCGAGAGTGTTACCTCAGTGCAGGGCGGAGTTGTGGGCAATGCAGGTTATGATGAGATTGTTGCATCGACCTATACTGGTGAGCTACTTTTATTTACAACTTTTTTAACTGGCCAGAGACAGAGTTGTTCAGATGGGAGACAAAACAAAATGTCCCAAGACTTTTCAATAGTTGTTATTCAATGTTGTGTAATTTATTTCTATCTCATTTTATCTTTAATGTTAAACCTTACTGCTGATTATTTGACTGTAGATGTTTCTTAACTGTTGTTGCTGTCTTCCAACCTCACCCGCCTGAGTGTTTCCTTCGTCCACTATCATGACCTCTGCCAAACTCTTACACTGATTGGTCAATATAAATCAGTAGAATAATTAAGTCAGGTAATTATTTTAAAGACATTATTGTACAGTGCTAGTTGTAGCTATCCCAAGAGCTGTTCCCTGGTGTATTTTATGGTAGCAGTCGTCCATTAAGAATATCTTAGTCTGTGATCATCATGTAGCCAGGGAGAGTTTCTGAGGGGACTTACACCTTGGTTAAGAGACTGAACTTGGATGTCATTGGTTAAGAGACTATGACTAATGTTACTCTGGCTCTCCTTCACTGTTCTTCTTAGCATTGTACAGTAGTGTCTGTTAGTATACTGTGTAACCCTCAGTCGGTGAGACATGTATCGCCTGAACTGATGTGTCTCAAAATGTTTCTCATGTGTGTCTGGAATCAACAGAAGCCAACCATGATAACAATAGGAAAGAGACTTGCATGTGTGTTATGACCCTCCGGTAGATCGTTACATAAACACAAATCACTTAAGTCAATAAAAATATGAACATTTATTAACTTATTCCCACCAAATAAACAATAATAATAATACTGCGGCAAGATGTTTGGAAGTGGCTGCATAAGGACTGAAGGTTTATCAAGAGCCAACAAAATCAATATCAAGGAAAACAAATCTCAACAGTCAAATGCCAACTCCCAAAACATCAGAGAGAGGATATACTACTTAACTTAAGACAGCTGTGCCTAGACTCACAACTGACTACCAGCCAGTCACCGACGTCACTTCTCTACCGCCAAATACTGACGTAACATATCCTGATTGGTCAAAAAGTAGACTTTATGTAAATTACCCTACTGACATTAATTCCATTTATCTAACCTATATACAAACCTAATACATGATACAATAAATAAACAAATTTAATACTTTAATATTTACTCAGTCAGTGTGGGCGAGTAATGATCGAAACTGCTCAAGCCAACCACACACCCTCCGAACCGACGTATTTCACACCCAGAACAGAAACTTATGGCGGACATTCGTAGCAATATGTTAATTCTTTGTTTATCGATCATGATTTGTTTTTCATATTTTTTCTCATTAGAGTTATTGTGTCAGATGTACCTAGGTAGTTATGAAGGTTTAGTTGGTTACTTTATATAGTATACTGTATTGTATTAGGAGCTTTATACAGGTCTTTCTCTGGTAAGTATCAAGGAATATAGAAGCTTTTAAATGTTACTTGTGTTAATTCTCCCTAACATTAACTGCCAGGCTGGATATTTGGTGTAACGTCGGAGCCCATGGATCGCCATATGACCTCTGAGTCTGGGGTTGTTCATATTTCCCAAGACTCAAAACACAAGATACAGAGATTGAGGTACCTGTGCCTGCCTCCATATATCATATTGTGTCTTTACTCCACTTATTATTTATTTTTGCAGTGTGACGTTGTTCATTTATGTTTTTTTTTTGTGAGCACCTTCTATTTTGTTTTATTAGTATTATTGAGTTAATTTACTGTTTTTAATGTGTTGATGTGCTTTCTCTCTCTCTCTCTCTCTCTCTCTCTCTCTCTCTCATGTTTTGTATGTGCATGGAATCACATTATCCTCACCCTTAGACTGATGCTTCACTATACAGTCGTCAAAGCCTTGTACGGTAATTACTGTAATAGATTATATTCTTTATGTGACAGGAAATACAACTGAATAAAATTGGATTATTAAAGCTTCTATTGTCTCTTCTTTAATCCATTGACTTGATGCAGAACTCAATATTTTATGGGTTTATGTGTGAGTTTTCTTATCAATCTCTTCAGGACTGAAATAGATGAACTGCAGCAGCGAGTTCTAAGTGAGCGAGATCAGTACCAGGCTGCCACTCAGAGTACCTTCCCTGGCATCTCAGCTGTTCCTTTCTTCTCTGTAAATGATAGGGTAAGTAAATGATGATGCCATGTCTCAGGAAAGATGTTTTGTCACCTCAGTAATTTATGTGTCCTTTAGTTTTAGTTTTATATCTGGTTGTTGTGTTGCTCATGAATAACTCTCAACATCATTATTCTTGATCAACGTAAAGAAAATCCCAATGTGCTGTAGTACGGTTTACATGCCACACCTGTTAGTGATATTGAAACAGTTTTTTTAGCCAGAAACACAGATACAGAGTCGATAATAATAACAATATTAACATGGCTGAGCCAGTTGAGAACCTGAGCTCTCTTTTAGGCACCTGATATATACTGTACATTTATCTCAAGGAAGTATCATGTAACATTTAGTATCATCTGGAATAATACACATAGTATGGTGGTAATAACAACATATCAGAATGTTATCAAGATCATCACTTCGATATTTATTTATTTTATTTATTTATTTTCTTTTGTACATTTATATTATAAGTATATACATATTTTACAGGAGTTGATATACATTATATGATAAAGGAGGGAAGCAGTCAGATGTGTACACCCTCACCTGTGTCAGTCATCAATTGTGTACACCCTCACCTGTGTCAGTCATCAGATGTGTACACCCTCACCTGTGTCAGTCATCAATTGTGTACACCCTCACCTGTGTCAGTCATCAGATGTGTACACCCTCACCTGTGTCAGTCATCCCCCTCACCTGTGTCAGTCATCAATTGTGTACACCCTCACCTGTGTCAGTCATCAATTGTGTACACCCTCACCTGTGTCAGTCATCAACTGTGTATACCCTCACCTGTGTCAGTCATCAATTGTGTACACCCTCACCTGCATCAGTCATCGATGTATGTGTACACCCTCACTGTGTCAGTCATCAATTGTGTACACCCTCACCTGCATCAGTCATCAGATGTGTACCTCACCTGTGTCAGTCATCGGTTGTGTACACCCTCACCTGTGTCAGTCATCAGATGTGTACACCCTCACCTGTGTCAGTCATCAGTCATCAGTGTACACCACCTCACCTGTGTCAGTCATCAATTGTGTACACCTCACCTGTGTCAGTCATCAGTGTGTACACCTCACCTGTGTACACAGTGTGCTTCACCCTCACCTGTGTCAGTCATCAATTGTGTACACCTCACCTGCATCAGTCATCAGATGTGTACACCTCACCTGTCAGTCATCAATTGTGTACACCCTCACCTGTGTCAGTCATCAATTGTGTACACCCTCACCTGCATCAGTTATCAGTTGTGTGCACCTCACCTGTGTCAGTCATCAGTTGTACACCCCTCCTGTGTCAGTCATCAATTGTGTACACCCTCCTGTGTCAGTCATCAGTGTGTACACCCTCACCTGCATCAGTCATCAGTTGTGTACACCCTCACCTGTGTCAGTCCATCAGTGTGTATACCCTCACCGTGTCAGTCATCAATTGTGACACACCTCACCTCAGTGTCAGTCATCAGTTGTGTACACCCTCACCTGTGTCAGTCATCAATTGTGTATACCCTCACCTGTGTCAGTCATCAGTTGTGTATACCCTCACCTGTGTCAGTCATCAGTTGTGTATACCCTCACCTGTGTCAGTCATCAGTTGTGTATACCCTCACCTGTGTCAGTCATCAGTTGTGTACACCCTCACCTGTGTCAGTCATCAGTTGTGTACACCCTCACCTGTGTCAGTCATCAATTGTGTATACCCTCACCTGTGTCAGTCATCAATTGTGTATACCCTCACCTGTGTCAGTCATCAGTTGTGTATACCCTCACCTGTGTCAGTCATCAGTTGTGTACACCCTCACCTGTGTCAGTCATCAGTTGTGTACACCCTCACCTGTGTCAGTCATCAATTGTGTATACCCTCACCTGTGTCAGTCATCAATTGTGTATACCCTCACCTGTGTCAGTCATCAGTTGTGTATACCCTCACCTGTGTCAGTCATCAGTTGTGTATACCCTCACCTGTGTCAGTCATCAATTGTGTATACCCTCAGTCATCAGTGTGTCACCCTCACCTGTGTCAGTCATCAATTGTGTATCACCTGTGTGTCATCAGTTGTGTACACCCTCACCTGTGTCAGTCAGTTGTGTATACCCTCACCTGTGTCAGTCATCAGTGTGTATACCCTCACCTGTGTCAGTCATCAGTTGTGTACACCCTCACCTGTGTCAGTTGTGTACACCCTCACCTGTCAGTGTGTGTACACCCTCACCTGTGTCAGTCATCAGTTGTGTACACCCTCACCTGTGTCAGTCATCAATTGTGTATACCCTCACCTGTGTCAGTCATCAATTGTGTATACCCTCACCTGTGTCAGTCATCAGTTGTGTACACCCTCACCTGTGTCAGTCATCAGTTGTGTACACCCTCACCTGTGTCAGTCATCAGTTGTGTACACCCTCACCTGTGTCAGCCATCAGTTGTGTACACCCTCACCTGTGTCAGTCATCAGTTGTGTACACCCTCACCTGTGTCAGTCATCAGTTGTTTGATCATCAAGTAGAACAATAGTGTACAGTGTTAATATATTTTTGTTTATAATTTTCAGATATTGTTAGTACAGTGTTGATAGACACTATATCTGGACAGTATACTGTGATGTACTGTAGTGTATTTATGTTTTTCTTATTTTCGTATGTAGACAATCATAAATGTTTGAAATACAGTTCAAGTTTACAGGTTAATACAGTACAGTACAGTACAGTACAGTACTGGTCAACACTTGAAGTTTATAATAATTGTAATCAGTACTGATTTAGGAAGTATAAATCAGTGTTTGGAACAAAAGATGTTTCTTAGAAGAAAACACCTCATGTAGGCACAATACTGTACCTCACATATCAAGTTTTACTTCTCAAAGAGATTTACAGTATTGTATACTGTACTGTTGTCCAGTTTATGGTTTGGTTATTACAAGTTAAGTCTTATGACAAGATAGTTTTATAAAATGAATCAGCAAGGAACAGAGGGATAATGCAGTGTTATATGCTGTTCCTGAGCCATTATCAACGTGGGTGATAACCTTTTATTGTTTCAAGAACATAGTTAACCACGATGGACTGGGAGTTGATATTTAATTATACTAATAGTTGGATAAAACACTGTTGATCATTTTATTTACACAAAGAACTATGTTTAGGGCTCCTTTCTTAATGCTGTACTGAGTAATTATGTGGATGAAGACCTTAACCTTAGGATCATGTAATTATTTGGCCATTTAGAGTTTTATTATTTACCATTTTCCATTATTAATGTATTGTTATTTCTTTACAAGATGACCCTAAATCGCAGTGATGCCTCCTACCTGTTAAGTTTAGAGGTTCAGACTGCTATTGACAACGTGTTACTACAAAGTGATGTTCCCATTGATCTTTTGGACGTGGAAAAAAACTCTGCCGTCGTTAGTTACAGCACCTGTGACCCAGATGTGAGTAAACTAGTATGTGAACGTGCATGAAATAAACTGATGCACGGTTAAGGTTCAACAGTCCAGAGAGTAATGTTCCGTGGGCTGCAATACCCTGGTTCAGTGGGTTGAGGGGTTTCCTGGTCAGTTTAGTAATAATAATAATAATAATTAAAGGCATATTGAAAGAGCATGGCAGGCGTAAGGCTGAAAATATACAGTTACATAATTGGGGAATGGGCCTCTTGATTTACAAATAATATACAAGTAACATAAGTGATACAGATATGATATATAATAACTAGGTGGGGAGAAGGTCATACTACAGGGCATTTCAACATAGTGACAGTGCAAAAAGTAAGTTTGACTGGGAGTGAATACACTGGTTGATTACAAGTTATTGATAATTTTTGCAATGGTTGGGACTGGGCTGTTCTTATAGCGATCAGTTCGTGCTCGTATGGGCTGGATGCGGTTGTGGTGTTGAACAGCAATTATCGGGCTAGGGATCTCGGGTGGTAGTAAGAGCCAGTGTCGAGGATGGTGCAGAAGCTCCTCACCAAATTTGCCTTTGAGGTCGTGGTGATGATCAGTGAGAGCCGAGAGGGTCAGTGTGTTGAGCGCTTCTTGATATGTGGAGTAGGAAGGGGAGAGAATAATCTTGCATGCCCTCTTTTGCACTTTTTTAGGTGTTTATGTTGTGTGGCATTTAGGGAGGAAGACCAGGTAGGGGAGGTATAGGTGAGCTTGGGAAGTATGAATGTTGAGTAAACACTGAAGAGCTCGGGGGCAGGAACTCCAAGGGACTTGAGTCGGCGGAGGAGGTGGAGACGGAAACTGGAGGATTTGACAACTTCACTGATGTGTGGTTTCCAATTTAGTTTGTTGTCTATGGTAATGCCGAGGAGCTTAGTGGAATCTACAACCTGGAGTGTGTTGGGACCTAAAGTAATGGAAGGGGGTGGGACAATGTCGGAGGAGAGGTTGATGTGCATAACCATGGTCTTGGTATGGTTGATGGTGAAGTGGTTGTTGGTGGGCCAGTTTTGGAGACTGTTCAATAAATCCTGAAGGGCGGTATAGTCGGGAGCAGAATTGTTAACGCTGATCCCAATGGTGGAGTCGTCGACATATTTCCAGCGAGCGGGGGTTTGTCTTAGGGCATCATTGATAGGCATAAGGAAGCATAGTGGTCCCATCTTGGTGCCTTGGGGGACGCCACAGGTGAGGGACTAAAAGGTGGCGACAACCCCTCGGAAGCGTACAGCTTGACGTCGGTCACTGAGGAAGTCTGTAAGCCATGGTATAAGACTTCTTCGAAACCCGAGGTCAATAGCTTTGTTGATGATTAAATTGTGGTCGACTTGGTTGAATGCCTCAGTGAAGTCAATGAAGGCGACAGCTTCAGACGTTTTTCGTTTCTCCAGACGGCGGTATATGTAGTCGAGAAAGCTGACAAGGCAGCGAGTGGTGGAGGAAGTTTTCAAATTACCAAATTGTTGAGGATTTACGGCTCCTGCCCAGTTAAACACAAAACTTTTACAGATTAAGCTGGGTATTGGGGTGATTACAATGGGTCATAGCTGATTTAAGGATTGTGGGCTGGTTGACTTGGGCACTGGTGACACAAAAAGTCTTCCAGTCAGCTGGGCATCTGGCATGACTGAGGGAAGCATTGATGATGGAGCAGAGGGGTTTAGCAAGCTCCGGGGAGAACTCCTTGAAGAGTTTCATTGGTAAGTCAATGGGGGTGGTGGAGTGTTTTAACTTCAGTTTGTCCAGACGTTTTGCTACTTCAAATTCTTCTACTAAGTCAGTGGGAAAGGGGGCTGGTAGGTAAGCAGGGAGATTGGTTGTGTCAAGCCGGGGGAGCGTCTGGCATATAGTAGCGAAATGGTTATTTGATTGCTCAGTTGCGTCAACATTAGTGAGATTGGGTAAGGAAGGGGAGGGGGTGTGTCTTATTGTATACACCACAGAGTTCTTTCAGCTTACCATACCACTGACTGTTGTTGGTCTGCTTCAGGTGTTGCAATTTGGTTGGGTAGTGGGACTTCTTTGCAGTACGTATTTCGCGGATGACTTGGTTGCAAAGGGACCTGTAGCGGTTGTGGTCATTGAGATAAAAGGCTCTGTCTCTCTGCTGCATAAGTCTTTTGATCCGAGGTGTGATCCAGGGCAAGTCAGCTGGGTGGGATCTGACGGACTTCTCAGGGAAGAAGTGGTGGTGAGCTTCCGTGGTGGTGTTGGTATAATTTATCCATTTGGTGTCCACGTCATCCACCCTCACCCTCCAAACCCCACCCTCACCCTCCATGCCCCACCCTTGGGGTCTGGAGGGTGAGTTTCGGGTGTCGATGGCGAGGGTGGGGTGTCGATAGCAAGGGTGGGGTGTGGAGGAGGAGGGTGGTGTTTGGAGGATGAGGGTGGGGTGTGGAGGGCGAGGGTGGGGTGTGGAGGGCGAGGGTGGGGTGTGGAGGGCGAGGGTGGGGTGTGGAGGGCGGGGTGGGGTGTGGAGGCGAGGGTGGGATGGGAGGTGAGGTGGGGTGTGGAGGGCGAGGGGGGTATGGAAGGCGAGGTGGGGTGGGACCGAGGGTGGAAATGTTACCTAATTTTCCAAAGTAGATTATCATAGAAACCCCACCTCACCCACCACACCCACCACCCTCCACACCCCACCCTCGCCCTCCACCCCACCCTCGCCCTCCACACCCCCACCCTCACCCACCACACCCCATCCTCGCCCTCCACCCCACCCTCGCCCTCCACCTCACCCACACACCCCACCCTCGCCCTCCACATCCCACCGCCCTCCACACCCCACCCCCCTCCACACCCCACCCTCATCCTCCAAACACCACCCTCCTCCTCCCACCCCACCCTTGCTATCCACCCCCGCCCTCCACCCCCACCCTCGCCCTCCACACCCCACCCTCGCCCTCCACCCTCGCCCTCCACATCCCACCCTCGCCCTCCCACCCCACCCCTCCCCTCCCCACCCACCCTCGCCCTCCACACCCCACCCTCGCCCTCCACACCACCCTCGCCCTCCCACACCCCACCCCTCGCCCTCCACACCCCACCCTCGCCCTCCACACCCCACCCTCCAACCCCACGCCCCCCCACCCTCGCCCTCCACACCCCACCCTCGCCCACCCTCCCCTCCACCCCCACCCCTCGCCCTCCACACCCCACCCCTCGCCCTCCACACCCCCACACCCCACCCTCGCCCTCCACCCCCACCCCCTCGCCCTCCACACCCCACCTCGCCCTCCACCCCTCGCCCTCCCCACCCCCCCCTCCCCTCCCACACCCCACCCCTCGCCCTCCACACCCCACCCCTCCTCCACACCCCACCACCTCCACCCCCCCTCCAGCCCTCCACCCCACCCCTCGCCCTCCACACCCCACCCTCGCCCTCCACACCCCACCCTCCCCCTCCACACCCCACCCTCCTCCACCCCACCCCGCCCTCCACCCCACCTCGCCCTCCACCCCACCTCATCCTCCACCCCACCCCCCCTCCACCCCACCCCCCCCTCCCACCCCCACCCCACCCTCGCCCTCCACCCCACCCCTCGCCCTCCACCCCACCTCGCCCTGCCCCCACCCCACCCCCCCTCCACCCCACACACCCCACCTCGCCCTCCACCCCACCCTCGCCCTCCACACCCCACGCCCTCCCCACCCCACCCTCGCCCTCCACACCCCACCCTCGCCCTCCACACCCCCCACACCCCACCCTCGCCCTCCACACCCCACCCTCGCCCTCCACCCCCACCCTCGCCCTCCACACCCCACCTCTCGCCCTCCACACCCCCACCCTCGCCCTCCACACCCCACCCTCGCCCTCCACACCCCACCCCTCGCCTCCACCCCACCTCGCCCTCCCACCCCCCACCCCTCGCCCTCCCACCCCACCCCTCACCCTCCACACCCCACCCCTCTTGCCCTCCCCACCCCACCCCTCGCCCTCCCACCCCACCCCTCGCCCTCCACCCCCACCTCGCCTCCCACACCCCCACTCTCGCCCTCCCACCCCCACCCTCGCCCTCCCCACCCCACCCCTCGCCCTCCCACACCCTCACCCTCCACACCCCACCTCGCCCTCCACACCCACCCTCGCCCTCCACACCCCACCTCGCCCTCCACCCCACCTCGCCCTCCACCCCACCCTCGCCCTCCTCCCCCACCCTCATCCTCCACACCACCCTCCTCCTCCCACACCCCACCCCTCGCCCTCCACACCCCACCTCGCCTCCACACCCCACCCTCGCCCTCCACCCCCACCCCTCGCCCTCCCACACCCCACCCTCCTCCTCCCACCCCACCTCGCCCTCCCACACACCCCACCCCTCGCCCTCCCACCCCACCCTCGCCCTCCACCCCTCATCCTCCCACACCCCACCTCCTTCCTCCCACACCCCACCCTCGCCCTCCCACACCCACCCTCATCCTCATCCCACCCCTCGCCCTCCACACCCCCCACCCTCGCCCTCCACACTTTTTTGCACTTGGTAACTATATCAGTTCTCATGTATAGAACCAAATACACAATGTGCTTGAATACTTCTCACGTAACTGTGAATAACAAAGTGTGAGGCCAGACATACTGCCTCACACTTGAACACTACGTCCTCGGCTGTGTGAAGATAGAACCATTTAGGGACAGGTCCAAGCACACTGTGTGTGAAATGGCACAACACTTCATCTCTAATGGCAAGATAGCCGACATATTAAGATTGTATCCACTTTTTTGCACTTAGTAACTATATAAGTTCTCATGTACAGAACCAAATACACAATGGCTTGAATACTTCTCACGTACTGTGAATAACAAGTGTGAGGCCAGACATACTGCCTCACACGCCTGTTCTCACGCAGTTGTGAATAAGTTACCCTTTATGTACAGAACTAAACAAATAATGTAATTGAAATACTGTGTAACATTCAGTGCCATAATATCCTGACAACGGGGTTAATTTTATGACCGTTGTAAACTCTCTCTGTAATCCTTTTGC